GAGAGGCAGGTCAGGTGGTCTGGTATTCCCATCTCTTTCAGAATTTTCCACAGTTTATTGTGATCCACACAGTCGAAGGCTTTGGCGTAGTCAATAAAGCAGAAATAGATGTTTTTCTGGAACTCTCTTGCTTTTTCGATGATCCAGTGGATATTAGCAATTTGATCTCTGGTTCCTCTGCCTTTTCTAAAACCAGCTTGAACTCCTCTCAGGGAGTGTTAAAGGTCAACAGTGCAGCAGCGCATGATTTAATCCTTGTCGAGGTAGATGGCAAGCACCCACGGCAAGTGCCAAAGTGGGGCATACCCCACAGACCACCCCCATTTGTAAAAGCACAGTGACAGCATCCCTTCTGATAGGGTCAGAGGAGGGTCTCCCACAATAGCATCCCCTCTGATGGGATCAGGGGAGGGTCTTCCACAATAGACAATAGTCTTCCATCAGCCCAGGGCAAGGCTCAGGGACTGATTAAGGTGTGAAGAACACCACCGAAGCCTCTTTGGGGACTGAGGGAGCCCAGAAGTAGGTGACCCCGCAGTGCCCCCTCTCTGGGGACAGAAGTGAAGAGGAGGCCAGGAGCAAGTGGTCTGTCCCTTCCCAGAACGGAGCTGGGGAGCGGGAGGAGCTGCCTCAGAGGCCTGGAGCGTGGGAGGGGGTCAACTGAGGGAAAGGAAGGGAGGGAGGGTAAGTGAGGGGAGGGAGGGCTTGGGAGCTGGGTGCATGTAAAAGAAGTAAGGATGGAGTAGGAGTTTCAGCAAATATTTTTTAATATAATTTTTTTCATTATTCATTTATTTTTGGCTGCCCTGGGTTTTGTTGCTGCACGCAGGCTTCCTCTGGTTGCGGCGAGTGGGGGCTGCTCTCCAGTTGCGGGGCACAGGCTTCTCATTGCAGTGGCTTCTCTTGTGGAGCACGGGCTCTAGATGCGTGGGCTTTAGAAGCTATGGCACCAGGCCTCAGTCGCCCCTCAGCATGTGGGATTTGCTCAGACCAGGGATCGAACCCGTGTTCCCAACCACTAGACCACCAGGGAAGCCCTTCAGTAAATATCTTATCTCACCTCATTTGTGGCTGTGAAATGGGAGGATGGGGTCCTGAGATGGAGGGTTTGCAGACCCCTGGAACAGCAGCCCCCAGGTAAGCAGGCACCATGACTGGTGGAGGCAGGAGCTCCCAGGCCTGGTCCCCACCTCATGGAGCTTGGACCTGTAGGTGCAGGGGGCGGGTATGGGGGCCTCAGTGAAGGTTCAGTGACATTAGGTGGGAGACACACCTCCCCATTCTGAATAGCATCAGGGGCATTGTGCTGGGCAGTGGGGAAAGAGACCCAGGGAGCCCCCCAGGTGACAGGAAATTCCTTCAATGGAGGATTCAAAAATTCATTCAATCTAGCAAGGCATTTTCCATTTTATTTTTAAAATGAAATATCTTAAAAATAATTTTAAAAATTAGTATATCTATCTTTGATGAACTGACTACTACTAATAATGCAAATATAACTGAATTGAGAAGAATGCTTCAACACTTGGAGCTTTTTAGTCATAGAATTATTTTGATATTTAAATTATATATATATATATACATATATATATATATATATATACGCTTGTAGCAAAGTGTAATAAGATAATGCATGAAGTATTTTCAAGCATCAATATACTATTTAAGATGAAAATTCATAGGCACAATGGAATGGAGCAAAATATGAATTCAAGGAGAAAAAGTGTAAATTTCCCTACTCTATTTTCAAATGGATGATGGTGAGAATCAAATCACTATGGTCTCAGCATCCATTGGGTAGGCAGAGAAATGGACTAGTTGATTTTTAAATGTCAATATTTGCAACGTTAGGAATTACATTATTGCAACAGTGCATCTACATTTTAAAGAAAAACAGTGGATATTAATGGGTGAGGAGATAGTGTGTGAGGAGGTAGTTTTAACGGCACATGCTCCTGGCACACAACACCACCTAACGGGTGGACACACCACAGCATAAGCCACCCCTCCAGCCCGACCCCTGGACACGCTCAGGCAGAGAGGGCCTGGTGGGAGCCTGGAGGGGAGGTCTGCCCCCTGGAGGAAGGAGGGGGTGCTGCGGTAGAGACACAGGTGCAGGGGGCGGAGGGAAGTGGGGTGGGGGAGGTGGGCAAAGGAATTAACTACAATTCTGATTTCCCCCTGGACATCATGCCTTTTAGGACCCCAAACACAAATTCTCAACTCCTATTTTTTAATCCTCCCACTTGTGGTTGGAGCTTGTCTGTAGTCTGTCTTTTGGGGCACCTCCCACAGCACAATAAATATTGGGGACGATGGCAAGGGCTGTGGGGAGACATTGCAGCCACACAAATAGGAACTTGTCACTTCCGGGGACATTCTGGATACTGGGTGTGCCCGGACTCCTGCCACCTGCTCTGAGGGCATCTCTCCGGGAAATGCCCACAGAGACCCTACAGAGAAGCAGAGGCCTGCCCTCAGCCCCATTCTCCTGACCAGGAAACTGAGTCACAGACGTGGCCAGATCACATGCCAGTGTTTGAGCGGGGACCCCTGCTCTGAGCAGAACCCGCCCACTTCCCCAGAACTGCCGGAGCTGGAGGAAAACCAGCAGATACCGCTGCATCTGCTCTGCTCCTCTCTCTTGAAATGGCATCAACACTGGGGCTCCTGGCGGTTTGGGAGGAGATAAATGAACTTAATCTTCCAGAGAGTCAGTGAACCTGCATTATCTCTGCTTTCTCATAAAGTTTAACAACTTCCATCCAGTTAATTACCGGGACAAAACACAGAGACAGAAAACATCTTGGATTCCCAAACTTCCATTGCTCTCAACACAATTTAACCCTTTTCCTCCTCCCAAATTAGAAATCCTGTTAGCAGCCTTATGAGTTTGCCTTTAAATAGCTCATTGCACTGAGTCTCATTAATTAGCAAGCTTGGGGCTATGTCTCTCCTCCAGGCTGGTGGGGAGAGGAGCCATCCCTCAGAAAGCAGCCCAGGGTGACCTGTGACGCTGATGGAGAGACAGCCCAGGGTGCGGTGGGGCAGCGCGGGAGACACGAGGCTAAGGCGGCCAGCTCTCCTCCCCACACAGTGTCTATGGGGTCCATCCACGTGCCCCGTTTCAGGCATTGCTTCCTTGGGACCTGAAGACTCATGAGGAGAGAAAAGCCTGGTGGGCATCTGGGGCGCTGGGAGGGAGAGGCCACCACTTCTGCAGGAGGAATTTCTAAAGCCCAGGGTGTCGGCTCCACTGGAATCTGGAGGGACAGCAGAGAGACCTGGGCTCCTTCCTTCTTCAGGCTCACCTGGAGGTCCACCCCCGACTCTGCCTGTGTGGTCTGTGTGAGGCTGACTCTGCCCCCGGCCCACATGTGGTCATGTGACTCAACTATGCAGTCTAGAACATCACATCCCCATGGCCTGAGCGCCTGGTTCAGCTGTGAACAGTTGGCTGGACCTACTCAGAGAAGAGAATTGGTCTCAGTGCATGTAATCCTGAGGAGATGCTGGCCAGGAAGGTACATGGACAAGGAGATCTGAGGTACAGGATAAGGAGAGATCAGACCCTAAAGTCAGTGTGTGAGCTGCTGGATCAAACTCTTCCTGAAACTGATCCATCCTGGGTTTTTCATTACACTTCCCTTGTGCATGGGCCTCGTTGGGTGTTTAATCATTTGTGGCTCATTAGCCTACAGCGAGACATCAAAACCTGCTCCCTCTCAGGGTCCTCATCCCCGAAACCATCTCTGAGAGCCTCTGGAGTGTTTCTCATGACTCACTCATTCAGTCCTCCTGCTCTGAACTGGCTCTGTTTTGCCCCCTGCAGCCTGTCACTCTGCCCCCAACAGGCTGGGGCCTGAGCACCAAGAACATCCCAGCGCCTTCTGCTGTTGCTTTGAGCCAAGGCCTCGCTCACCACTGGTCACCTCCCTGAGGACACAGCTTGCGTCAGGGCACCAGCTTGTCCTCAGGGTACCCTGCAGCTTACGGTCTGCTCTGGGAGGGGGGCAGGAGAGGAGGAGACCCCTGTGAGGAGTAGCCACCCCAAAGTCAGCCTCCTTGCTGGACACAGAGGTCTGTCCTGGGAGCCTTCTCACACCAGGAGAGTCGGGACACAGCCCTTTAGAACAGGTGACAGCCGGAGACAGAGCAGAGAAGGCTGGAGCCCAGCCCTCCTGGGCGTTGGGTCTGCAGGGACCCAGAGTCCTCATGGGAACTAATCTGTACTGGCTCCTTCAGCCTCCAACCCCAGCTTTGGGAGCACCCAGCTCCCCATGTTGACCCTTCTCTGACCTAACATCCCTGGGGGACTTTGTACCCACCCGACCTGATGGAGACAGCAGAAGGGATCATGGTGGCCACAGGGGTCTCCGGGCTGGGGGGCATCTCCGTCAGGGGGTGCAGAAGGCAGGGACCCCAGGAACCCACCACACCCTCCTTCCTTTCAGTCAGGGCGGATTCCTGGGTAGCCCCAGGAGCAGGAGGGAGGGATGAGAGGACAGAGCTGGTGACCTGTCCATCCCCCATGCTCTCCAGGGCACCCAAGTGAGTCAGGGGGTGGTGGGGTGTCTGTGCCCCTCTGCCTCCTCTTGGGGTACTAATGTCAGAGGGCTTCCGAGCAGGGACCGTCTAGGACTGGAGCCTCAGAGATGCTTTTTCCAGTGTGAGTCCGGGGCTTCCTCCTCATTAAAAAAGTTGAGAAGAGACAACCTGGAGGCCTATTTCAATCCATCAACAGGCATCTAGAGTTTAGAGGGACATTTTCCCAAGAGCAGGCTGTCCTGTCTCCTTCCCTTTATGGCCCAGAGACCGTCTGCTCACTGGGAGGAGGAGGGGACTGTCTGTATTACCATCACTGACCTGGACCGAGGGCTCTGGGCACCACGTGGTGCTTTTCCTGCCGGGCGGGGGCCGAACATTCCCACCTGTTCACTCATTAATCCTCAAAGCAGCCCGTGGGGCTCCCCTGCTGTGATTCCACTCCCGTTTTACAGATGAGGAAACCTAAGCTCCAAGAGGCCGAGTGGACCCTCTGGCTCCGCACCTGGTACCTGGAGGGGCTCGGGGGGGACCCTGGAGGCAGAGTCACCTGCTGGCCCTGCCCTGAGTGGACGGTTCAGGGCCGGCCGCTGCCCACCACTCCCCTGGTCCAGGCACCAGAGCATTTACAGGTGGGGTGACCCCAGTGCTCCCCACGTGCCTGGGCAGGCGTCACCATCACCTCACCCTGTGCAGCCCCCCGGGCACATCTTTGCCGAGTGGTCTCTGCCGAGTCTCCTCCTGGGCACCAAGGTCAGAGGGTGGCACTCCTGACCCCACCTGGGGAGGCTCCTCCCAGAGATGGGGGAGGTGGGAGAGGGGAACCCCCAAGGGTGGTTATGACAGGGATGCCAGGGTAAGGAGGCGCCTGGGCTCCCACAGCAATGGGGAGCCAGGGAAGGTTGTAGAGGAAGGTCGGTCTGCCCCGGGGTCCCCAGGGGGCCATCTTTGCTAGTGCAGAGGCTTCAACCTCATCCTTCTCACAGCGGGCCCCTCCCGCCCTGCGTGTGTCCCCTCTGCCCCGAGAGAGGTCACAGCTGCTGGGAGGGCCCCGCAGGGTGTTTCCAGCTGCAAATCACTTCATTCAGGGCCCCTGTGTCTGCGGGTCAGAGGCTGAGCTGGAAATAGCCCCGCGGTGACCCCCTTACAGGGCAGGGTGTCTGATCACGGTCCCGGGCCCCCCTTTCCTGCTCAGGAGGGAGGAGATCTGAGCCCAGGGAGGCGGCTCCCAAACAAGGCCGCCTTGTGTGGCTCTCTGAGGGCCTTTCAGAGTCGCCCCTCCTCCCCGGAAGCCCAGCTGCAGCCCCTCCTCACAAGGACCTCTGGGCCCTTCCCCAGCTAGGAGGGAGGCAGACGGGGTGGGGTGTGTGTGAGAGGACCCCACAGCTGCCCCTCCTGCCCCGCCCCCTTCCAGACGCAGGGCTGCGGGGGGGACTCGGGGTCTGTGGTCTGCTGACCTACAGGGGGAGATGTGGAAACTAGAGATTCGAGGACCAGATGCCTGGACAGGGGCTCCACTAGGAACGGCTTCTCCTGAGTGTCCCGGGCGGGCAGCTGCCCTTCTACCCAGGGGGCCACTCGAGATGTTTCTGTTTCAGGCCAACTCTGCAGGTGCAATGACACCCCGAGGTGTGTGTCAGCCCCCTCCAGAGGGGCCCCTTTCCTGCCTTCACAGGAGCCCAGGAGTCAGCAGACACCTGGAGCCACGGGGGCCTCAGACCCCCCCACCCAAGACCCCCTCCAGACCAGCCCTGGAGGCAGGCGCTGTGGGCAGGGCCCAGGAGGCTATCCCCTACCACCTTCCCATCCTCGCATGATGGCTGTGCTCACATTGATGACTGACTATTGATGAACAGATTGATTGGCTGGGGCATGGACAGCCTAACGGCTGATTGCTCTGAGCAGGCCAGGCCTTCAGCGACAACAAATCGGGGTGCATACTTCCTACCTGCCCAGGGTCCCCAGAGCTTCTCCAGGTCATCCTGTTCCTCTCAGGCCTGCCCAGCTCCATCACCAGCAGCAGCAGCCCCCACTTCCTCCTGACAGAAGGTTCTGGAATATCCCCCTGAGCCCTCAGTCTCCTGGCATGGTCGAGGACGTGTCCTGTAGCTGTGTGTCTTTCAAACTGAGGGAAAGCGGGCTCCTGAATGTCTAAAAATGTGACCTGACGGCCTCCAGCATCCCTGAAGCCCTCCCCAGCACGGGACGGGGGGGTCTCAGGATGCTGAGCTCTGAGGCTCCAAGATTTGCTGGCAGCTCTTTCTGGAGGAAACAAAGACGGTCGTGGTCCAGAGGGGCCTGGTTCTGAGGTTCGTAGAATGAGCAATGTGGACCAACTCGGAGATGGGCAAGCCCTTTCAACAAACTGGAAGAAGCCGGTGGTGAGGTGGGGGTGGTTCCAGACTGGGTGTGTCTGTGTGCGCCTGCACACGTTTGCATACAGATGGGTTTGTGAGCCTGCCAGGCCGCATGGATATATGTGTTCCGTGTATTGGTGTGTGCACATGGGTATGCCCCTGTGTGTGCTTGCATGAGTGTGTGTCTGTTTTTGTGTAAGTCTGTGTATGGGCTTGTGTGTGCATGTCGTGGGTGCATGCAGCATGTGTGTGTGTGTGTGTGTGTGTGTGTGTGTACACACATACTGGTCTGCGTCTGCGGAGCTGAGTCAGCTCTGGGCACCCTCTGTTGCCGGGAGAGCAGGGCAGAGGCCAGGCGGTGAGCACCCACTCGGGCCTCACCCGCCCAGCTCATCTCCCACCGAGCTCCTCCAGCCGCAACTCCTTCCGGACACCGGCTCTCAATGAGCCCCGAGCCCGGGGTGGGTCAGGGTCCGAGGCCCAGGTTCACGGCCAGTCCTGCCCGCCAACCCCCGCGCTGCTGAGGAAACAAACCTCCTTCCCAGCGGGCAATCACAGGCAGCTTCTCTCTGGGGATGCCTGCCCGTTCTCATCTGCTCTCCAGCATCATCCGCATGGAGAGGAACCCTCAGGGGAGAAGGGCTCCGGAAGGAGGAACCGCGGAGGCTGGATCCCCGGGGATGGAGGGAGAGCAGGGGTGGAGGAGGGCCAAGAGCAGCTTGGGTGGTGACAGGAGCCCAGCCCAGCCTGGAGGAGCGCAGGGACACAGCTCATCTGCTTCGTCCCTGCTGTTCCTGGGGAAGAGCCCTTTCCTCCAGAAACTGCCTGTGAGGGGACCTCACCTGACAGTACGTTAGAAGCTTCTAGAAGCCTTGTGAATGATGCAAGTGGCTGGGTCCAGCCCAGACTGTAGGTCATAGTGTGGGGGAGAGACTTGGAAACTTGCATTTCAACAAACTCCCTGGTCATTCATATGTCTCTAGTGTGTGAAGACCAGCGATGTAGGAAGAGCCGTGGGTCCTTGTTGGGGATGTGGTCCTCCTTCCTCCCTTCTTCCCTCCATCCATTCATCAGTGCTGAGGAGACAGTGACTGAGGTGACCAGGCAGGTGCTCACACTCTAGTGGGGAGATGATGGAGTGTCAGCAGGAAACAGGGCCCCAAAGGGTCACCTGATGGGATGATGAAGGAGGGTCACGATCAGGCGGTGATGCCAACAGGGCAGACTGCAGGAGGTCTGAGAGTGACTCCGTCTGAGAATGCCTGGCCACCAGAAGCTTCCGTGGCCTCTCTCTTAGCATGACTGAGTCGCTTTTCTGGCCACTGTCCCCTGATACATAATGAACCCCTGAGGCCTTTCCATCCTCTGGAGGCAGCTCTCTGCACAGGGGGCTACTCCGAGTGCCAAAGGCTGCTGCCCCCGTGGAGAATTATGGATGGCTCTTAGAGTTTCTTCTGCACAGCCGGGCCCATCAAATATTCATAGCAGCACAAACATTCACCTCCCAGCAAATCAGAGGCATTGGAAGGGAAGGACCCCTGTGGGGGTGGCACAGGAGAAGTTGGGCTCAGAAACACCTGGAGGGGGAGCACTGCCACCCTCCTCCCCACCCAAGACACCCAGTGTCCCTGTGACTCTGCCTGTCCTGCTACCTATGTCCCCATACCCTGGTCTTGGGGTGCATAGGGGAGCAAAAGCTCTTCCCACACTTCAGGGTCCAGGAGCATGGGGTGGATGGCTCCCCGGGGAGCTGATGCCACACAGGGCCTTATGCTGAGCAGGCCAACAGCAGGGCCCTCACCTGGTTCTCTACACAGTGAGGAGGAGGGCACATCTCCTGCAAAGTACTCCATGGACCTGCTGCAGGTGCTCCCAGGACAAGAGCTCTCAGAGTCAGGCCTGACTGGCTGCCCCTCCACTGTGTGACGTTACAGGATGTCAAGGCCACAAGGCTCTCAAGGGACCCATCTCTCCCCACCAGCCACTTCCACTCTGTGATATGTTCTGAGCTTTCACAGGAATGGGATCTGGGGCAGAGCCCCAGACAACTTCCACCCTGTCCTCTGACCACCATCGCCACTACCACCAGCTCCACTGTGTTTTGACAAAGCCAGGACAGAAAGAAAGGAGCAGCCGGCCAATCATGTGAGTAGCCCAGGGAGGTCGCAGCCATGGGAACTCTACCGAGGGGACCTGTTACAAAGGCAGTGACAGAGCAAAAGCCTCACCATGGATTAGGAAGATGGCCAGGATCATCATCAGCAGGAACCACGAGGGCTAGAGGGGTCCCAGACTGGAGAGGGGGGTTCCTGGAGCCCAGGGCCTGGGGCCAGGCAGGCACTGGACCTTTAGGGAGAGGGGCTGCCTGTGGAAGGTGGAGCCACAAAGATGTAGTCACCCCAGAAGTGTTGCCCAGGCAGAGACACAAGGGAGAAATGCCCCAGCTTATCTCTCCTTCCGCCTTCCAGTTCCAAGCAGTGCCTCTTGTTGGCTGAATGTGACCAGGGGCAAGCTGCAAAGGATCCTGGGAAATGTGCTTTTTAGGGCTCAGTTTTCCTGATACAGATCAGAGCAAGGGAAGAGGAGGAGAGGGCAGAGAACAGAAGAGTAAAAGACCAGCACACGGGCTACTCCACTCGACATGTGTATGCACGTGTGTGCGCACACACACACATACACAAGGGTTTCCACGGGACAAGAGCACTCTCGGAAGACAATGCGCTTATCCCCAAGGGGTTAACTCTATGAGAGGAATGTCAAGGGGTGCTTCCTCTTGGCATTTATATCCTCTTATCCCCAGTGACTGGCCATCTCGTCTCGCTAAAACCATAGTCCTGGCTGACTTCCTGCTCAGTAATGCTGGGAACAGCATCTCAAGGAAGAATTGCCTGTTTCCCTCTGTGGCTCTGTTGCTGAACATATCATCTTTTCTGGAGAGTGTGAGCTTCTTGAGGGCCCTGAAGAGAAAAGCATCCGTAAGTGTTTTCCGGAAGGAGTGGATGGATGGATGGATGGATGTTTGGATGAATGGATGGGTGGATGGATAGACGGGTGGATGGTTAGAAGAATGAATGGATGGATGGGTAGGTGGGTGGATGGATAAATGGATGAATGGATGGGTAGATGGTTGGATGAATGGATAGGTGGGTGGATAGATGGGTGGATGGTTGGAAAAATGGATGGATGGGTGATTGGTTGAAATGGATGGTTGGAAGGATGGATGGATGGCTGGATGAGCCAGGTAGCTGATGAAGTTAGGAATGGACCTAGGGCACATGATTAAAATAACACTGAACAACAGGCTCTCCCTACCATATTCAAGATGAGATGGTTGAATTGGTAACCAGGGGATTCATTAATTCATCAAGAAACACTCATTGAGCACCTCCTGTGTGCAAGTCCCAGGCCAGAGGTGGAGGAACCCAGTGTACGAGGGGCCGGAACTGTGTCCTGAAGGAGCCTGTGCTCTGGGCATGGAACCGTTTGGGTGGAGTCCCGGGGACACTTAGACGTTGACCTGGAGCAGTGGAGTAGATGTTGGTTCCCCTCCCTTTTGGGGAAGCTAGAAGGAAACTAGATGGAATTTTGAGTTTGCTTTGGGAAGCTTTGTTGATGGGAGATGCAGTTATTGGTCCCAGTGCCTTGGATGAGGCTATGTGTCCTCTGGACATGACCTGCTCAGGATTCCAGCCATGGAACCTACCAAACATTGCAAGGATAGAGTACATTCTGTCCTCACGCTGTTGGGAAACTGGTGGGTCAGGTGAACAGACCCCCCACACAATGCAGGTTTGAATCAAGCATTCCAGTTGGGAAGAGGGACCAGAGAGCAGAGTCCATTCCGGGGGGAAAGACACCTTCACCCCTGCCTGCCTGCCCATCACTGATGCTCATGAAGACCTGCCGGGGCCTGGACCAACTAGTTGGTGATAAACAGTTTCTCCTAATGAAGAGCTTTAGAGCAAGAGCTGGTGCAGTCAATGTG